TATACATTTCTTTACTAAATGATCCTGATATCTGTACAGATTGTGGGCGATTTGACAAATAACTTTCGATCAGTGAGTACGCGTTTCCTCTGAAACCAATTATCTCCAATGCTTCTAATAATGATTTGTGATTAACTGTGTCGAAAGCTTTCTTTAAATCAACAAAAATGCAGATTGAAGGGATTCTGTTATCAATATTTTGATGTATTTGATTTACAATTTTAGTTATTGCGTCCGATGTAGCCTTCCCTTCTGTAAATCCATATTGATTTTCACTTAAAATTTTGAATTTTGTGAGGTATCGAATCATTCTAGTAGATAAAACTTTTTCAAAAACCTTTGCTACACTGGATATTATTGATATTGGTCTATAGTTGTTAACATCTGTTTTTGTTCCTGATTTATGTATCGGTATTATATTACCTTTTCTTGAAATTGAGGGATATATGCCAGATTCAAAGCATTTGTTGATTAGGTAAGTGAGTGGTTCTGTTATGTCCTCGGCTATAATTTTCATATGCTCGCTTTTAATACCATCGAACCCAGGACTTTTCCGATTTTTTAAGGACATAACAGTGGTGTATACTTCACATTGCTCGACTTTATCCAAAATAAATGAGTTCAAAGTTCTTTTTGGAGGCTGAGTATTTTGTACATTTGCTTGTATATTACTTGCTAAATTTTCGCCTATGTCAGTAAAGAATTGTACAAATTCATCGCATATCTGTGAGTATTTTTTAATACTGTTCCCGATGTTGTATTTAACTCAGTGACACACTCTTTAACTTTTGTTTTCCCAGTAATCTCATCAATAGTTGTCCAAAGCCGCTTAGGATCATTTAAGTTATTATTCAATTTATTTAGGTAATGTTTTCGTTTGGTTTGCCTTACAAGCTCTATAAATTTATTTTTATATTGGTTGTAGCAGTCGGTATTATCTGTAGTTGGCGTTAGTTTCATTACATTATATGGTCTTTCTTTTTCTATTGCCGATGTTATTAATCCTTTGGTAATCCAGGCATTTCTGCTTTTCTCTTTGTGACTAATTATTACTTTATTGGTACTAATATCTATTAGTTTTTTATTTTCTCTATGAACAGTCCCGTTGCTTTGTCTATATTATATATAGAGTATAATTGTTCCCAGGATTCTTGTTTGACATTTGATTTTAGTTTTGAATTGTCGACAAAAAATTTGCAATTTTCCTGGTTGTTACTACCGCTATGGATGTTAGAATGTTTTTCATTTGAAGAGATCAGTAAAATAGTGGAGAAGTGGTCAGTAATATCGCTTTCTAGGATTATTGGTATACAAGTAATTTTGTTGCATAGGTCTTTCACAAAGCAGTGATCTATACATGTGCCACTGATGGACCTTGTAGGTAGGTTTATATAGGACAGAAATCCGTTACTTGATAGTATATTGAAGTATTCATTTGTGATGGGATCATCGTCCAAAATATTTATATTGACATCTCCCAAGAAAATATGTTGCTTTAAATGAACTTTATTTTGATTTCGAAAAAAAAATTCGATATTCTTTAAAAACTCGTGGGGTTCTGAACATGGCGAACGATAAATTGCAGATACCTCAATTTTATTATGGTTAATTTGGATCATTATGTTTAAAATTTTGATTCCATCGGTGAAAGTGAATGTATCATGATTATATTGTAGCTCATTTCTTACAAAAACTATCACCCCATCGTTTTGGTTATAAGTGCCAAAGTTATACAGCGTGTCATATCCCTGCTGATTGAAGCAAGAAATATCAACCACTTGCCACGTTTCAGTTAAACCTATTAGATCAAAATTGTACCATATTTGGTCGAGTAGTATTTTTAAGTAATCAATGTTGTGTTTTATACTCCTTATGTTCATATTAAAAATTCGAAATTTTGCATCAGAAGTTTGTGTACATAAATTAAGTTCATCGACGTTTTGTGCTATATTTGTTGCAATAGTTGGAATTTGGAAATCATTAATGTATTTATTTACTGACATTTTTAGGTCCTCTTTAGAGATAGGAGTAGTAAAAGATGAACTTGAATTTTAAAAAAGTGTCCTTAAGTTTTGTTGTTCCTAATAATATTTGTACGATGGACAGTTTTTGTCGGTAGGTGAGTGGTTAATAATATAATTTTTTTTATATCTTTCATTTCCATATCTACAGTTGCAGCATTCTATTGATACATGCTTACAATTTTCTTCTTCGTGACCGTTGCCACAGTTGGCACATATCTTCTCATTCCTGCAATTCTTTTCTGTATGATTAAAACGGTAGCATTTTCTACACTGAGAAATGCCGTTATTTTGATATACTGTCAAACATTGCCATCCCAGAAGTATTCTTCTATTATTGTCTTCGAAGATTTTTTTGAATAGCTTAAGTACAACACTTGCTTTATTGATTAGTTGTGATCTAGTCTGTGAATTTCTCCATATTCTGGAATCATGCGCTGATCCAGGCCAACTGACATCAACACTTGTGAACATCGCTCTGGCATCACAAGTGGCTTGCACGTTTAAAGTTTCCCTTTTCGGTTGATATACTCATCTCCACGGCGATTTGGTTTTAGGATACCTATACGTGTACAATCAATTGCAACAATTGCTGTCGGAAATTTATACATGCTTTGCCATATCCGCTTAGCCTCCATCAGTTCATGGTTGGTAGTTGGAAACTTGATCCATTCGTTCGACTGTGCAATCATGCTGTTCACAACTCTTTCCACAGTCCGAGACACCGTTGCTTGACTAACACCAAGTTCCTGACCAATACCTTGTTGATATCCAGGGTCACCGAGATAGCGTAGACATATCTTCATTTTATGAATACATGAAAGTGCTTCTTCTCGAGTTTCCTCATTCTCAACTAAAAATCTGTCCGCGAGCCATTGTACATTTACTTCGTTGAACCGATATAGTTTTTTGAAGTCACGACCAGGTGAAGGTAAACGAGGTTTGTACGTTTTTACATCCCTAACATCCACAATTTCCGCCATCATCGTTTGACCACCTTTCGTTACGAAGTTGAGTCTGCTACTGACCACACTCAGAATTTTAGAAGGATATGCTTCCTATGGCAAGTATAAGGTAAAGATTATGAATATCATTTTACCTATGTCATTACTTTGAAGGATATGCTTATACTCAAAAAGCAAAGGCATTTACTTCAAATTATTATAAATACCGTCTGGAGGATATCCTTTGTTTTATGAATACGGCTCATTAGTTTCGATGACGAAAAGTATTTCACTTTCCTTAATTCTGAAATGAAGGGAAACGACGGATTTTATACGGACAATGTAGATGAATTTCCTGACGATGTTAGATACAAACATAAAACGAAATTTGCAGACAAAGTCCTTATCTGTGCCTTTAATGGGAAGAGTGAGTGGTGAAGCTTTGCATAGTCAGAGCTATAATGATAACTGCCTTTTTAAATTGCTTCAGTTCGTCCATGAACATCATGCTACTGACCATATCATGTTTTGACCAGAACTAGCATCATGCCGTTACTCAGGAGATGCCCAAAACTGGCTTTGACAATACAACATACCTTTTGTTCCCTAACACGATAATCCTCCAAACTTGCCGCAGGCTTGCCCAGTAAAGGATTCTTGGGATTTACTGTACTGTCTAGGAGATTTATCATGGAGGCTGGGAAGCCCAAGGTGAGGAACAAGCTGTCAAGCTGTCTGTGAATGTGAGTGATAGTGAATTATTTCCGGCTGAATACTGTGTGTTCAGATGTGATCGTGACTTTATTCGATCTGGCCTAGTTTCCGGCGGAGGAGTCCTGATAGCCATAAAACGCGATTTCCATGCAATTAGAATTGACGCTAGTGCTTTGAGTCGAAGCTTTCCGTCGATTGATACTGTATGTATTAGGCTTATTATTAACCATGACCATTTTGTTATCTTTTCTATTTATATTCTGCCTTCAATTAATTTGGACATGTTTGGTCAGTACCTTGAAGCTTTGGAAGTATTTAACAATGCATTCAGTAATTGTAAAATAATTGTTGCTGGTGACTTTAATGTCGCATCATCCAACAGTGACGTTAATGATCAGAAGTCTCAATTAATGAGCAACTTTATTTCGTTTTTAGATTTAACTAATTTTAATAATATTCCAAATATAACTGATCGAATACTGGATTTAATTTTGGGAAATATCGATATAGAAGTCCTCAGAGATAATACACCTTCTATTAAAGAGGACGTTCATCATCCTGCACTGATCATGGAATTCATTACATCCGGATCTCCAACGAAATTCCCATTTGCTAATTCTCCACGGTTTAACTTTCGGAAAGCTAACTTTCCTGAAATGTACACAGCCTTGCAAGATGTTAATTGGACGGAGGTGATCAGTGCAGTTAATGTTGATGTCGCTTGTACCGCCTTGTATTCAGTTATCAATAACATCTTTGAGGTCCATGTCCCTAAATGTAAAAATAAAATGTTTTCGTATCCCCCATGGTTCACACGTGAAATTATACTTAATATCAAGAAGAAGGACATAGCAAGAAGGAACTGGAAACGTGAAGGTACTAAGTTTTCTTATGATCAGTTCAGTAATTTTAGGAAGCTCATTAAGAACCAGATCAGTGTTACCTACTCCGCTTACGTCCAATCGGTTGAGGATGCCATAGTCAATGATCCTAGCAAATTCTGGTCATTTGCTCAGATCAAAAAACAGCAATCTAGAATCTCCCCAAGGATGACGCTTAACGGCAATGTCTGCGATACGCCTCAGGATATAGTGGACAGTTTTGATACCTTCTTTTCAACAGTTTTAATCCCGTCTGGTCTACTAGGGTCATCTCCTCCAACAAATAATTCTACCGATATAATTTCTTTAAAAAATATAAATGAAGAAAACGTAATTAGGGCTTCGAAAAGATTAAAGAACAAAATGACGTCTGGATGTGATGGTATTCCAAGTTTTTTCGTTAAAGATTGCATTCATATGCTAGCGAAACCGCTAGCTTCCATATTCTACCTAATTCTAAAATCAGAGACATATCCAAATATCTGGAAGACCTCTAAAATATGTCCTATTCACAAAAGTGGAAATATCTCTGATATTTCCAGTCTCTATTAATCAGCATGGGTTTATGAGAGGCAGATCTACGGTCACCAACTTGGCTCTAATTACTCAGTACATTTCTGAAGTACTGGACGGTCAGGGACAAGTTGATGTCATCTACACAGATATTCAGAAGGCGTTTGATCAAGTTGATCATTATGCACTTCTGGATAAGCTTAAAACAGTGGGTATGTCTGATGCAATGCTGTCGCTCATGAATTCATATCTGAGGGATAGAAGGTTATTTGTCGAATATGGTGGTCATAGGTCGAGTTACTATCGGGCCACGTCCGGGGTACCTCAAGGGTCAAATCTAGGTCCATTATTGTTTTTGATATTTATCAACGACTTGTCTTTTGAACTGAAGTGTTTCCATTTGTTTTTCGCTGATGACCTTAAAATCTGCAAGTCAGTCAAGACAGTCGAGGATTGCGTCATGTTGCAAGATGACTTAGCTCTAATTTCGTCACGGTGCTCACGAAACTGTCTCAGTCTGAATGTTTCGAAATGTAAAGTTATGACTTATACAAAAAAAGTTAACTATATAATTTATGATAATTATAACATCAATGGTCAGGTTATAGACAGATGCACCTCTTATAGAGACCTTGGAGTCATTTTTGATACCAAGCTAACGTTTACTGAGCATATACTAAATATCTCGTCGGCTGCCACTCGACTACTTGGTTTCTGTATCAGAAACTGGAAGGGTTTCTAGAATGTTGATACATTAATGACTTTATTTTTTACTTTTGTCAGGAGCAAGTTGGAGTATGCGACTCTGATCTGGTCTCCTGTATACCAAAATTCTGTCGTGATCCTGGAGGCCATTCAACGTAAAGCTTTAAAGTATTTTCACCTTAAATGCACAGGTTCTTATCCAGAAAGAGGTTGTGCCCATAGTGCCTTATTAGAGTTTTTCAATTTGGATTCACTGTCAACAAGACGAAACATACTTGCTTTGTCGTTTGTGTATGGCCTCATTCACAATAAAATTTATTGTCAAAATTTGCTTGAAAAAATATGTTTGCGCGTTCCAAGGCTAGGGAGTCGACAACAAACGGCATTCTATTGTCAAGCTGGCCGTACAAATGTTATGACAAAATCGCCAATTAATCTCATGTGCTGCGTCATGAACAGTGTTACCGAATCGTGTGATATTTACAGTGACAGTTGTGCATCGATTATTAACTGCTATAGATCATCCAATCTTATTTAGAATGTGTGTTACTATAGATTTAAGTCCAAGAACCATGTATCTTTAATTGTTATTTCTTTCAGCGTTTCCTGTAATTGGGTTTCACCTGTTGGAAATAAATAAATAAATAAATAAACAAGTGAAGACGGCGAATTTTCGAAAAACTGAGAGAAATTGATCTGAATTCCGTCCAGAACGTCATGAGAGAGATTCGAAGAAAGTTGCATCTGGTGGTGCAGAATCGACCACTCCACACAGTATAGTTTAGTTAAGTATTGAGTTGTAATTTATGATAACTAGTAAGTGTTTAAATAAATTTATCCATTAAAACAAAATCAGATAAGTATTCTCTGCCAAAACTTTTCGGACATATGGTACGTTGTTGTTTTGTAATATGGATCTATTTTAATGATACAAGGAGGAAAAGTTTCTAGTATCTTACATCACCAATTTTAGCACAACTGGAAAGCACCTATTGTCAGTATGAAAGGGTCCGATTTTTCTTTAGACCCTTCCGGTCGAAATTGGGGTATCTTTCTGCCGTATCTGCAAATTCTATGGCCCGAAGCACTTAATGAATGGTGCCGAACTCGAGAGGTAAAAGTTAATTAACGAAACAACAGATTTAGGTGAGCAGGGTTGGAGATTTGCCTTTTGTTGTTTAATTTCGAGAAACTTCTGGAAATATCATCAAGTAGGCGCTGTTAATTTTGTTTATTTGACCTTCTTTTTCGTAGGATTGCCAGAATTCATCGCTTTTTAAGGCGGCTCCGACGCAGTGAGTTTCAAGCCATTTACAAGGGTTCAGCTGCCTCAAAAATGACACTCCATTTTTCAATATTTTTGAATGAAATTCATACAGTATGTTAAGAAGATAATTGCCCAGGGTGCTTTTTGAAATTTTGTTTTTGCACAAGTTTTATGATGGGGTGAACTGCGCACTTTTTCTGATCAACTTCGCGATTTTTATAAAAAGAACCTAGTGAAAAAAATGAAAAAGTGTCTCAATAGCACCCTGTGGGGTTTTGTTTTCAGCACTCTGTGAAAATTTTATCCAAACGTATCAAAAAATAAAGCGTCAATTTTGAACCTCCAAAAATCGTATTTTGGACGAATTTTGTCTACTGTTTCGTGCTGCCAAGCCAACGTTGCGGCGCAATCTACGGACTAAGAAAGGACGTATTCAGATAATTTGGTGGCCCTATTTCATATAATATCGCGTAGATAACTCGTTCTGCAAATAGGTACTCATATTCGCGATCGCTGATACTCCTCGATTTTAAAGCCGTTTTACTTCCCACGTCATTGGGGAGGAAGTATTGTAATCGCGAAAAATTTCTAAAATGAGATGTTATGTTTTTTTAAGACATATGACATCTACATCACGAAAAACTGTATTACTCATCATCAACTTGGAAATTACCGCTCGTATTTTTATGAAATTTCAAAACGCAGTTACTAGTATGGCAAAGCTTTGCAGTTTTAGTCCAGTGGCAACGGTGCTATAGGCAAAAAAGAAAAAGTAACAATTG